GGTCGATAGGAATTGGAACCAACTCAATGGTTGTTGTTATCTCCTACTATGAAACTTTTTCTAATCCCTTTGATAAGGTACCATCTGAGCACCCTCTGCAGCCCAGACCCTCTTATATCTTTATGTGGCTATTATTTTGTTTTTCTCTGCAACTAAGTTGCTTGCCTATCATGGGTTTTCCTAGACCCAGCTCCTAGCATTGAAGGATCTCCTTAAAGTTAAAAGTTATGTCTTCTTCATTCTTTTATTACCTGAGAGTGTTAAACAGACTCTGAATCACAGTGACCCTATAGGACAGACCAAACTATCTCATAGAGTTTCCAAGACTATAAACCTTTAGAGAAACAGACTACAACTTCTTTCTCTATAACTGGTGGGTTTGAACTGCTGACCATTCAGGTAGCAGCTGAGTGCTTAACCACTGTAATCACCAATGTTCCTTATTTCTTATACCGCCCTCCCCACAAAAGAAATAACCAATGTGTATTCCATATAGTAGGCACTCAAAGGAGAACTCTAAATTTAATTCACTAAAACTTATTACTTTCAATATTATTTATGAAGATTAAATCTGAATTTGACAGGAAATTTGCCAAGCTCTTTAAATTGTTATGGTATAATCTAATCCATTTGAAAAATTAAAGTCCATCTTATTATACAAAATCAATATATACTGTTGTCAAAAAATCACCAAGTTCAATGATTCAAATAATACTATAATTTATCATTTCTAACTGAATTTTGAAAAAAAAAAAAGCAGCATCTTTAAGCACCCATGAAATTACTACTACCACAGCATCAGAAAACACACATATCAATCTGCTTTCAGAATGGAGAAGTCAAGTTTTAATACACTGTTCTCCCCACTGATAGATAACTGTCAGGGGGCTAAATCTACCTGAGGACGTAATAGAGTGTAGGGGAGGAAAAGAGACAGATTTGAAAGAATACTCAAATCTCCCAACCAGAGTAGGATTTTTAATTTTGAAGTTCTGTCCTGCAGTATGCCAAAATTCTGATAGAAAGTTCACCATTTTTCAGGTCAGAGAAAAGGGAAGGAACCTGGGGCAACCATGTCTTTTGTAAAATGACAGAGAAGTTCCAGGAAGAAAAGAGCTAGAGAAGCATTCTGTCTATAAATTCTTCCTAGTTTCTGGCTGGCCCCTGAACCACGTACACATGAGACAAACTAGTAAAAGTCATTTCAACTGAGATGTAAACTATTGTGCACTCCAGGGAGCCAGGGTATGTATGCAGCTGTAATCTTAACTAGCCAAATGTCTACTAAAACATTAACACTCTTCGGGGAAAATGACCAATTCTCCAGGGAAAAGAGAAACAACCAAGGCCACCTTTGAAAAGACCAGATATTACAATTACCAGACAAAAACTTTAAAGTAGCCATTTTATCTATGTTCAATGAGGTAAATAAACTCATAATGAATGAAGGTCACTCATCTCATGAGAGAAACAGAAAGTCTGTAAAATAATAAGATGCAAATGTTAAAACTAAAAACTAAATACCTGTAATTAAAGATAACACAAAATCCACTAAGTAGGCTGACTAACAATAGAAATGACAATGAGGAAGTAAAGGAACGTGTAGAAAAATGAATAGAAATTATCTAATCTAAGAGGGAAAAAGGTTAAAAGAAAGAAAGAAAAAAGAGCCTCAGTTCTCTGTGGGACAATATAAAATGTAACATACGTATAATTAGAAACCAAGAGATATAAAAACTACAACAGGAAAAAAATTCTCAAAGACTAGGGTCAAAACCTTCCTAAATTTGTTGAAAGGCATAAAGGCATAGACAAAAAAGCTCTACAGATCACAAACAGAATAAATTTGAAGAAAATCACACAGAGGCATAACATAGTAAAGACACTGAAAGCAAAAGTTTAAGAGAAAATACTGAAAGCAGCCAGAAAAGAGAATACAACAATATGTACAGGCACATAATAGCACAAAGGACTATGGGCTTCTCATTTGAAACCATGGAGGCCAGAAGATAGTAGAAAAGAAAAAAAAAAAAAAAACAAAAACATGCCAACCAAGAATCCTATACCCAAAGAAATAACCATGAATAAGCATAAAATAAAGTTACTATCATATGAAGGAGGTTTAAAAGGTTCATAGAAAAATGGAATTAAACTATAATGGAATTTTTCCATGGACTGTTTGAAGCTCCCTGGACTGTGAACAAGGTCCTCAGACATTCTATGGTGTCAGGGGATACCCTGGGTGGTACAAATGATTATTGTCTCCAAAGGTAAGTGAAAGGTCAGAGATTCCACAGAAGACAGGTCTCGCAATCTACTTCTGAAAAAAAATCAGCTGTTGAAAAAAGCCTATGGAATATAGTTATACTCTAACATACATGAGCTCTCCACAAATCAGAATCAGCAACTTTTTTTTTTTTTTTTTAACAGGTTATGGTATCAGAACTCATCCTAACCTTTGGGCACCTCTGCCAAAAACTTGGGTTTTAGAATCAAATTCTTAAGAGTTACAAACCTCATACATGGCAGATTGGAATTCAAACCTTTAGTGGCCCGCCGACACACACAAAAAAATAAGGTAAGCTTGGGTCTAGTCAAGATCGTATTTCTCAGGAAATCTTCTGACTAGGGTTATTGTTAATGATGGCTCCAATACGCTTAAAAATCCCAAGAGTAGTCTTATATTAATATAAAGACTCAGAAATGGTCAAAGAGCTAAAAAGATAAAATTTAGATTGACTTTTTGTGTCTTCCAAGGGAAAGCCACTAAGGGAAAAAAAACTTCTCATATAAGATTTTCCGTTTTTGCAATGACTTCCTGTATGTCAAATGCTATCATGTAAAGAAGTATATGCTTAATCTGAAATCATGGCTATTGTCAAAGGGAAAAACTATTATTAAATACAAAGAAATTTGTATTTAAAATCTATAGTATTACATTTAAAGAAATAAGCACCACAGATAAATGCCAAAACATTGGGAACAAAAGCATGTATTACAGCAAACTATAAAAATTTAACAAAAAAATAACAAATATATCCATCCTAGCATATCAGTAATTTTAAATAGTCATTGCATTAAAAGGCCTATTCTACTCTGTTCTTATAAAATAGGCTCTAAATTATAAATAACTTTCCATGTAAATTTTATATACAGTTAGCATAAACAGGCATAGCTGTAAATTTGAAGAGATGGAAAAAAAATTTTTTTTAACTTATCTTTCTCTAAAAAGAATACTAGGCAAAAAGTATAGGAACAGATGATACATATTCTGGAAAAGCAATTATCTAAATTAAAACTACTGATCAAGACCAGCATTCAATCCTAACTCAGTGGGAGTTTTAACCCCAATGTCTCCCAAGCATCTGCAAAAAAACAACCTCCCGATTTTATCTCCAACATTAAACTTGTCTCAGTGTTACTCACAATGAATGAACAATGCCTGACAAACTCATCAGGTTCCACTTTCACAAGTTCAATTCATATAGGCCTGTTAGTAAAACACAAAGTAATCCACTGATTCTAGAGGTTTACATTACAATTCCCTCTTCAACTCACGTTTCTAAGCTTTCTATATTTTTTTAAATGTCCTAAATATACCTAGAAATAAAACCATGGGAAGGGACTTTAAGATACTGAATGATAAATTTCCAAGGCTGCTGTTACTGGAATGCATAAATTGACTGATATGCCAGACTACATGACTTGAAAAATACCTTCTTACTCTATCCAACTTATGACTCCAATATTAATACGTTATAATTTATACCTTAGTGTAAGTACATTCTTAGTCAGGCAGAAATATATAGCTGGTGTGATTCATATTAAACCTATAGAGGAAAATACCATTCTTTAATACTTGCTATTATTAGGTGACTTCGTGTCAGTTCCAACTCATAGTGACCGTATGCACAACAGAACAGAACACTGCCCGGTCCTGAGTCATCCTTACAATTGTTGTTAAGCTTGGTAGCGTAGTGGTTACGAATCGGGCTGCGAACCATAAGGTCAGCAGTTCGAAACTACCAGCTACTCCGTGGGAGAAAGATGAGGCTTTCTACTCCCGTAAGGATTTACACCCTCGGAAACCCTGTACAGGGTCGCTATGGGTCGGAACCGACTTTAAGGCACTTAACAACAACAACAACAACAGATACACTACCAACTACTCTGACCAGTATCCCAATAGAAAGCCATAGACAGAGTGTGTGTGTGTGGTGG